AAAGAGCATCTCTGGTCATAGGCTTGCCAAGCTGGCAAAGAGGGCTTTGAACTAAAGTTGCTGGGGGAGGGGAACCTCAGTCCATCCCATTGGAAACTGTCCAAGCAGACGGGGATCAGTTTAAGAACAAGCTAAAGCCCTCACAGAATTAAATATGGCCAGGGACATCAAGGGCAACAAGAGAAGTTCCTTATGTACATCAGTGATAAAAGGAAGACTAGGGAAAATGTGGGCCCTCTCCAGAAGGAAACAGGAGACCTGGTTACCTGGGATATGGAGAAGGCTGAGGTACTCAACGACTTTTTTCCATGGGACCTGATGAGATGCATCTGCAGGTCCTGAAGGAACTGGCAGATAGAATCACAGAATCATAGAATCGTTTAGGCTGGAAAAGACCCTTAAGATCATCGAGTCCAACCTTTAACCTAACCCTGCCATCCCACCACTAAACCATGTCCCTAAGCACCACATCTGCACATCTTTAAATACCTCTAGGGATCGGGACTCGACCACTTCCCTGGGCAGCCTGTTCCAATGCCTGACAACCCTTTCTGTGAAGAAATTTTTCCTAGTGTCTAACCTAAACCTGCCCTGGCACAACTTGAGGCCATTTCCCCTCATCCTATCACCCATTACCAGAGAGAAGAGACCAACACCCACCTTGCTACAACCGCATGTCAGGCAGTTGTAGAGGGTGATAAGGTCTCCCCTCAGCCTCCTCTTCTCCAGACTAAACAACCCCAGTTCCCTCAGCGCCTCCTCAGAAGGCTTGTGCTCCAGACTCTTCACCAGCTTCGTTGCCCTTCTCTGGACATGCTCCAGCAACTCAATGTCTTTCTTGTAGTGAGGGGCCCAAAACTGCACACAGGATTCGAGGTGCGGCCTCACCAGTGCAGAGTACAGGGGGACGATCACTTCCCTACTCCTGCTGGCCACACTATTCCTGATACAAACCAGGATGCTGTTGGCTTTCTTGGCCACCTGGGCACACTGCTGGCTCATATTCAGCCGGCTGTCAACCAGTACCCCCAGGTCTTTTTCCACTAGGCAGCTCTCCAGCCACTCTTCTCCAAGCCTGTAACACTGCATGGGGTGATGAAGTTGCTAAGCCACTATCCATCATATTTGAGAAGTTGTTGCAGTCCAGTGAAGTTCCCACTGACTGGAAAAGGAGAAACATAAGCCCCATTTTTAAAAAAGGGAAAAAAGGAAGACCCAGGGAACTACAGGCCAGTCAGCCTCACCTCTGTGCCTGGCAAGATCATGGAGCAAATCCTCCTGGAAACTATGCTAAGGCACATGGAAAATAAGAATGGTACTGGTGACAGCCAGCATGGCTTCACTAAGGCCAAATTGTGCCTGACAAATTCGGTGGCCTTCTACAACGGGGTTACAGCATTGGGGGATAAGGAAAGAGCAACTGATGTCATGTACCTGGGCTCGTACAAAGCAGTTGACACTGTCCCACACGACATCCTTGTCTCTAAATTGGAAACACACGGATACAATAGATGGACCACTCTGTGGATAAGGGAACAGCTGGACAGCCACACCCAAAGAGTTGTGGTCAACAGTTCAAAGTCCAAGTGGAGAGCAGTAATGAGTGGCATTCCTCGGGGGTTGGTACTGGGACTGGCACAGTTTAACATCTTTGTTGGCAACATGGACAGTGAGATTGAGTGCACCCTCACCAAGTTTGCCAACGACACCAAGCTGTGTGGTGTGGTCAACATGCTGGAGGAAAGGGATGCCATCCAGAGGGATCTTCACATGCTTGAGAGGTGGGCCTGTGCAAACTTCATTAAGTCCAACATGGCCAAGTGCAAGGTCCTGCACATGGTTCGGGGCAGTCCGAAGCACAAATACAGGCTGGGTAGAGAATGGATTGAGAGTAGCCCTGAGGAGAAGGACTTGGGGGTGCTGGCTGATGAGAAGCTCAACATGACCCAGCAATGTGCACTTGCAGCCCAGAAAGCCAACCATATCAAAAGAAGCATGACCAGCAGGTTGAGGGAGGCGATTGTACCCCTCTATTCCTGTGAGACCCCACCTGGAGTACTGCATTCAGCTCTGAGGCTTCCAGCATAACAAGGACAAGGACCTGTTGGAGCCAGTCCAGAGAAAGGCCACAAAGATGATCAGAGGGCTGGAACACCTCTCTGGTGAAGACAGGCTGAGAGAATTGAGGTTGTTCAGCCTGGAGAAGAGGAGGCTCCAGGAAGACCTTATAGCAGGCTTCCAGTACCTGAAGGGGGCCTACAAGAAAGCTGGAGAGGGACTTTCTACAAGGGCATGGAGTGATAGGACAAGGGGTAATGGCTTGAAACTGAAAGAGGGTAGATTTAGATTAGATATTAGAAGAAATTCTTTACTGTGAGGGTGGCGAGGCACCAGAACAGGTTGCCCAGAGAAATTGTGGATGCCCCATCCCTGGAAGCGTTCAAGGCCAAGCTGGATGGTGCTTGGAGCAACCTGGTCTAGGAAGGTGTCCCTGCCCATGGCAGGGGGGGTGGAACTGCATGATCTTTAAGGGCCTTTCCAACACAAGCCATTCTATGATTCTACTCTCCCTGTACAAGTAGGAAATTACTTTTTTTTGAATAAATTATCTACCTCCATTTTTAAGCTTCTTAGTGTTGAAGGATTTTACTAATCTACTCTAATTTACTAATCCAATGTAATTGAAGGAAGACAAGAGCTCAATTTGGTTTATACAGGGTAATCTTCTTAGTTTATTCTTTAATAGCATGAGATTATTCCAACGACAACAGGGACACAATAAAGGAAAGTATGACGTCTGCAGCACTTGTAAATGTCTTCTAAAAGATGAAAGAACATTTGAGTTTTGATATGAATGGGGTGCTTGTTCAGACACATGGAAGATACTTCTCCTGTTCTGAAAAAACTTCTGCAGAGTTGGTCAGGAACATCTTTATGTGCTGATGGCCACACAGAGTTTTCCTTCACTCCAGGGAAAAAATATCCCATTCCATTTTGTAACTGGTCTGTAGTTTGATATTCAGTCCAGTCGTCTTTAATACCACAGTGAAATCTTTTGGTACAAAGCATTGCCAAATCCAAGACAAGTATAGCATATGCAGGAGTAAACAGAACTCTCTTATATCCAGATACAAAATAACTGAAGACTTAAGCTCTTCCATTTTGACAGCAGAAGTGTCAAAGAAAAAGACTGCATAGAATTAAAATTTGCCAGAAAGCTTCCACAGTCAAAGCAGCACTGGCATGCTGTGTGACACACTGGAATTGTTGTTCATTAAATGTGTATTTCGTAATTACATAATTAGAACTGGACATCTCATGACTTTCTCATCCAAAAGCTGAAGAGTCCAGAAATTTCACACTCTAAACCAAGTAAAAAAAAGTAACTCCACAGTACCTTGAAAACATTGTAAATGTCTCACTCTCAGACTAATTTAGGCAGCATTTGAGAAGTTTTGCTTCAATTGTGAAATAAAATATTTTCTCAAAGAACTTACCTTAAACCATCTTTTTTCATTAAAAAACAAACACAATTCAATATTTGGAAGCCTTTTCAAAGGCTCAGAAAAGATCACAACCAACGCAAAATTTTTCCAGCTGAGTGGCTCTTTTCTGACAAAAAAGGCTATTTTTGTTTTGTTTTCTAATCTCTGCCCAGCTTTTTTTTTTTTTTTTTTTTATATCTTTAACTTTTGGTTCCTTGTACAGCATTCTAATAGAGTGCTACATACTTAAGAATTTAATTTCTTAATTTTGACCTAAGAAATCTTTGGATTACATATCTAGAGAGGATTTTTCTTACTTCAGCTGTCCTCTTGAATTTCATGCATTATTTTGTGGACATGGTGGATTATGCTAGAATGATCATTTGACAAATCAACCTACAGACAGTGAGTATGCCTACATATAGCTTCATAGTAGCACACAATGATCTGCAGTGAAGACTGGGAGAGGGAGGGGAAGAGACTGTGGGATTCACTGTACTGCGGGATTCACTGTACTGCTGGTATGACAGCCACCTTGACACAAACCTTTGATTTAACAGTTCATTGCTCTAGTCATCTTGGTCAAAAATCACTCATCTTCTCAAACTTGGTAGCTTGCTCAGGACGATGGCCAGGAGCCTTACTAAACACTGAAAAAAATCCAGGACTGAAGTGCAGCTCATGGCTGAAAAAAGTCATTGCAAAACCCCCAAACATTGTCATATTGAACTCCATGAGAACATCACACTGGAATTTATTCTCATGTGTTCCCTCTAGGACAGGATTTCCCATCATGCACAACTGGAGGAAAAGGTTGACAACTTGGAGTTATCCACAGTCCATCATGAGGCACAATTTTAAATACAAGTCTTAACTAAATAAAAACAGCTGAAAGGAACTGTCTGATATACAGCCAGGCAATAAAAGTAACAGTTAAATATATCTTTTGCAATATTTATGACATTTATTTTTACTGTAAGTAATGGATGAGTGTTTTAGAAACAGATTTGTATTTTCATTTGCTTCCATGAACAGCACAGGCAGCAAACTCTACAACCTAACAGCAATTCATTAAGACAGCAAACACCTCCTAGAAATGAAGTTCCTGGGGACTGCATCTGTACTACCAAACTGGTGGAGATGGCCACCGATAAAAATATCAGAACAAGTTAGAAAAATATTAAAAGCACTCCTTAAGACTCAAACTGTGTGCAGAGATCTGAATTTGTGAAAGTATGTCTCTGAAGAGAAAATAATTCCATTATCACTTATGAAAGAAATGAGTTAGGACGGAAGGTTCTTTACTTGTTATTTTCTGTGAAAGATATTTTTATCCAAATATATCTGCTTATGCTGACAGATATGGCACCACAGGTATGGAGGCAGTTTCCCATGTATGCATATTAAACAAACTCCTCCTGAAGCCAAGCTTTTCAAAACAGATGGACTTGCCAGACTGATGTCACCAATGCCTGTTTCCAACAGACACAGAACTACAGCATCAAGTAGCATTAAGAGTTGATACAAATTTTTGATAAAGACCAAAGTGCGATCTCTGCTATCGCGGGTGAATTACCTCTACAGCCACAGGAACCAGCATACATCTATCCTATAGTACTACAGCCTCAGAGAGGTTGAATCACACACTCGTCAGAAAGGAGGAACAAAGAACAGAGGAAAAGGAAATGCTGACCTCTATCACACCCAGCTTGGAACTGGATGCAAACATTTGGCTTGCCTTCACTGCTGTGTCATGCTGCAGTTATCTCCGTTAGCAAGGCACTCCAGCCGGGCCCACCACCCCTTGTGGAAGAGCAGAAAGTGCATTAGCCTAAGTGGTAGGCCCCGAAATGGGCTCAGGCAGCTCAGCACCAGTCTCTCACTTTCAGAGACATGTACAGATACCCCACTGCAGACTTGGCCACTGAAATGGACATGAATTGTACCACAAGAGAGACAGGTCAGCCTGCAAGAGTCATTCTTGTAGATCATTAGAGATGTCACTGAACTGAAGTTATGAACATCTGCGTGTTGCCATTGCTTCTTCTGCAGACAGAGCAGCAATTCAGCAGTCACACTGATGCTGTTTGGAACAAGTAATTTGAGGCTGTAAGAGAGGGATACATTCACTTGCTGGGCCACATTATAAGGCAGAGCATAACAATGAGACTCGGGGGACTTACAGCGAACAAGTCAAATAGTACTATTTACCAATGTAAATGTTCAAAAGAAAAAAAAAATGGCCAAATGACTATGACATATAGCCTCTGCCTATATTGCCACCTGTGACAACATGTTTCTGCTTATAACATGGGTACTAAACGTCAGTATAGATTAACAGAGATAAGTCATCAAATCCTACCAGTATTCAGACAAGAAAGGAATAATTTCTAGATTGAACTTACATTTCTATATTACGGACTGTCAGAACAGACTTCCATCACCTTCTCTATTAAAAAAAATCCTTGTTACCTCTACATATTAATGTTACGAGCTCTAGAAATAAGGTATTGTTTACAAAGGCCTTTCAAATGTTCTTTACATGTACACCTTGTCACAACAGGAGAGGAACATACAGTAACCCAGATGGTAACTCTTATTATCTCCCTCTCATTGCAAAAAGCAACAAGGCAAGTAAAGCAACATACCCAGAAGAATTTGTAACACTGATCTGGGGTCATCAGCTGTTTCCCTCAGAGGTTTGTTGGCTGGGTTTTTAAGCTATACAGTTTCAACAAAAACTATCTATGAGAAGTTATGACTCTCTGTGCTTCTCCTCGAACACTTCTTATTAGCTTTAAGCTGTTTGATCTAGCAAGTCACAACTTCTGGATTGAGGTAGTTAACATACACTTCCCTAAGTATGTAAGTAATCTAGCAATCTGAGTCTTCTTTTCCTGAAGGTATTTAAAATATTTAGGATCCTAAGAAGTGTTACTGCAGTGTATCTCATGAATGTCCAAAAGTTTTTATAAACTTCACTTGGGTTCCCTGAAGTTGTTTCCTTTTGAAACATTTTCCCACAAATCAGCTACTTGTCCACAATCATACCATGTTTTGCTTGCTTTACACAGAGTAGTGAAAAGAACAAAATCACCACCGAAACAACCTGTCCTCATTTCCCAGCTCAGGCCATTGGAGGTCACAGAGTTTTGACTCAGCTCTTCTTCAATGCCTCAAGTCTTCCTCCCCACCCCCCTCAGCAAAACAGTTGCCCTTATTCAAATGGGAAGGTTAAACTGTGCCCTTATGGGAGCTGCAGGATGATGCACATTACTTACTACTTCTTCACTTATCAGGAAAGATTCAAGCTATGCTATGCATTTTGGGGGCGGGAAGTTGTGGATGCCTGACAAGCTACAACAGTGATATCATCTACGTGACTTGTAAGAAGATATGTAGAAGAAACATGACAGACAGCAAGACAGCTGACTGCAAAGCTCTTTTTACAGCAGCTATCCCAGATATGCCACATGAAAACATGTCTTCAAAGACAAAAGAAGTTTTGACATTAACTTCAGTCAGGCTAGAACATTTTCTTCTAAACCACTAACCACTTTGTCTTTCTTACATATCAGCCTTCTAACAACACATAAATCTACCAAACCCCAAAGATACTGTAGCACCATGGCTATTTAGCAGTGTCTTTTCTTTGCCCATGAAGAACACAGCAGAAGGCTTTGATGGATTGTATTAGTAAAAGAAAATCACTTCAAAGGCATGTGTGCTATATTCTTACTTATGCCAACTTAAAGTTGGCAAATGCAAGTAATCAGAAATAACTGGGGGGTGGGGAGTTCTGAACAACATTAACAAAGAAAAAGTTACGCATGTTCTGTAATGTAGAAATAATTTATTTATAAATTTTGCCTACATGTATCTTCAGTCGAGGTCTACTTCCCTTCCCCAGCTCACAAAGAAACTCTAAAGAGTACATCTATACAGAAATTTAAAGCAGAATATTTTTTTATTTAAAAATGTGTTATTTGAGGCAGATACCTACCACAAGAAAATATTTAAGACACACTGCCTCAGATTTTGTAGTGACATATTTGCTTCGTTTAGAATAGGATTGCCTAGTAAATACTAAGAAATACTATCCTTTGGCAATAGGTACGAAACATGCAACTTGAGATCCCCCAATACAGACTCACAAGAAAAAATAAAAAAAAAAAAAAACCAAGCTGCCCCAGGAAGTTGTTAGTAAAACCTAATCTTTAATTTTCTCAGGCTAGTGGAAGAAAGGTCAGAAAGGATCCCAGGCTTTTCTGCTAGAAGACATGCTACACGAAAAAGAAGAGCATGGCAAAGTAAGAGCAGTTAGACAAAATAAGCATTTAGCATTGTTCCTTGTGACTTTCCTTACCTACATTTCTCAAACACTGCACGGTGACAGCAAATCCTTTCGTTCGTGGCAGTAAGTGATACTTGAGCTTAGGCAGTCCTTTGGCTTCGGCTACCTGCATGCTAATCTGGTGCTTCTGTTCTGTGAACCTTGTGCCCTCGCAATGAATCAGGAACTAAAACCAAGAGAGAACTACAGTTAGACAGCAGCTCAGGTCTTCTATATCTGTCTGACCAGAGACTTCTCTACTTTCCACCAACACAGACCAAATGAACACTGCTAGCAGGGAAAAGTTTAGCCACATACACATTTAGGTAATTTAATTAACCAAAAAAAAGACCCCAAACCCTCTTGCCCCCATCCATCCAACTTGCCATCCTCTGGTTTGAACTCTAGACTTTAGGCTTTAGCATCTGCTCTGCTACTTGCTATCAGAATGACTTGATTTCTTTAAATGAGTCATTCCATCTCGAATGAGATGTTAGAAGACACTCAAAACATACCTCCTGTTGCAAATCTCTCACTGATGGTGAGGTGTTCGAGCGTCATGGTATGTAAAACTTGGTAAGTGTCTAAACCAAACATATTTCTAGGAAATGCTTCAGTGCCCATCTTGCTTCCCCTCACTCCAACCCACTTGCTTTCACTGTGGCATGAGGACCACTGACAACTGCAGACAGTAACTTTGATGCCAATGACTGAGCTGATAACACTTGTAAGGCAGTAGATGTAGGACAACCAAAAACCTCATCCCCTTATGAACTATACAGCGAAAGTGCTCAGACCATGAACGATTACAATTTTGCCACTGGCAGGCAGGGGACAACAGACAGATCTTTGGAGATTTACCACTTGCTCATCTGCTTTCTGCCAACCCTGAATGCAAACTAACACATCACACAAGCTAAGTCGTCATAATCCACAGCAAAGATTCAGCCAACAAAGACAAAGAGACTGAAGAAAAATAGCCAAGCAGCCAGCTCCAGCTCATCTAAGAGGACCTTTACTCATGTATCACATGTATAATGTTAACAGCTAGATGAAACATACAGAAACCGATGAGAAAATCCTTCTAGCCCCCTTAGCACACTTTTTCTACCTTCCAAGGTGCTATTGCTGTGCCTTTTGACATTATGTCACCGTACAAAGGCAAATTAAATACACTGCAATAATCCCAGGTGTACATCAACAACTGTGTCTCACTACAGGTATAGCTCCTTCTTAGTAATCTCGCTACATCAGTATATAAAGTATGGTGGCAGCTTGTGCTCACCAATTAGTGCTGAACTGCCTAGGTGTAGAGAAAGGCATTCAACACCTTTTACGAGCCACAGAGCACAGGCAAATCCCTGTGAGAGAGATTAGAACTAGAAACCAAGAATTGTCCCTTTGCTAGACAGCTTCCTGTCTGGAAGTCATTTAATCATTATCCAAGCACAGAGCTTAGTTTTGATTGCTCAGCACTCATTTACATCAATGACAACTAAAAAAAAAAGTTTTGTTTCAGAGAATGGGGGATACAGCATATACATCTTCACTAGGAAACTGCTTCTAAAGCAATAGTTTCTGTAGCCCTTGTGAGGCTGCTTAAGGTACCATTTCCTTAACTGAATCCCTCTCTTGCTATCACCAGCTCATGAGAACTGGGATTTTTCTCATTACCAAGAGAAAAAAATCAAAATATTTTCATTCCCAGACTAGGAAATGCCAGACAGGCTCAATACTGAACAATGATGGTGATGCAAAAAGTAACACTTCCCTGTTACTGAAAGGTGACACCAATCCTCTCCCTGTAACACAGCCAATGGCCCCGGGGGCCACTTCTCTGACCAGGTACCTATCTGCGGCTTCCATGTCTATGGGGCCATGTCTGACTTACACAGGAATGGCAGAATCACAGGGAAATGGAAGGAGAAAATACTAGTATGAACTCTTCAATCTAAGGTGAGAGGGGAGCTTAGATAAAGAATACAGTTAATGTGTTTCAATACAACATTGTCACATGCATCTGTTACACTGCCATGAACTCCTGCATCTACTCCTCCTCCAGCTCCTGCATTTAGAGGACCACAAAGTTTACTGAATGTATCACAGCGTAGGTATGTTTGCAGTAACATCTGTAGGGCTCCATACTATAGAGGCAGAAAACAGACACAACAACTACATGGGAAATTCAAGAGAATTCGATTCATAGGGAATACTTTCCTAATAATGCTAGGAAGTTCAAAGTTCTCGGGACCAACCTGGCGACTATCACATATTGCCTATGCCCTTCATCCCTCCCAAGCACTACAGCACCTTGCACTCTGCTTGTTAGTCAACACTCACCCAAAAGTTTTCAGGGTAGTCCCGGAGATTCAGCAACTTCTGCATGACTGTTTTCCGATCTTCCTCCCACTTACGCTTGCAGAAGACTATCTCTAGGAAATACCACATCCAGCCAATGATCGGCATGTAAGAGAGCTCCTTCTTTGCAAGCACTTTGGAACTCTGCAAGACAGTCAAAGCAAGTAAAACAGAGTTACACCACTTAAAGAGTTCTGGGGGGGTATGACACATGCAGAGTTAGACAGTAATACACTGATTCATATTGACCCGTCACAGTTTTAACACCAGCGCAAAAGCAAAACAATAAAAAGAAGTTTTTCATCATACAACAGAATAGTGAAATCTAATCTAATTCTGGATGTCTTCTTTCATGCAGATATGAAATATATATGTGTGTGTTCCTATCCTACTCAAACCCTGAAACCCAAACACAAGCCAAATTCCTTCAAACACTGAGGAATCCATGCAGAAGACCCAAACCACATAAACTAATTCTTAATTCAAGCAGACCCTAGGCAGTGGCAACTCAAGTTCCTTTAAGGTATCTTGCAGCTGTACTTCTTCCCAAAGCTGAGATATCTCACCATGACAAAAAAAACCCTATTCTGAATGAGAAGTAGAGTCACAGAGCCATTGCTGCACAACAGTATATTGATGCATACACATGGTTTACCAATGGAAGAAACCTTAAACAACAGCTGAAACAACAGCAGCAATAAAAATACTTCATTTGTGTTTAGGTTTGTTTATAGAAGGGCAGAAATACTTTCACTAGTGAATTTCTCTTCAAAGCATGCTTCTGGAGGGGAGGGGAAAAAAAAAAAAAAAAAGTGCTGTTCCTATCTCACAGGTGTGACAGACACTGAAGTGGTCTGTCCAGACGTAGTCTATGGTTTATCAAGCATTCAAGAAGTTTCAAATCTCAAATCCTACTCCAGAACTTAACTTCATGATCAT